GATTGAGGGTCATTAATTGAAAAACAAACAAACACCAACAACAGGAAACAAGCTTGGCAGAAATGTGTGAGAACCAGAATCCATGTGTGCTGTAAGAGGAAACGAAAAGTGATCAGGCTTGGAGGACTACAATATGGATGATGTCTTTTCTTACTCCTTTTGGCATGGGGGGGGCACTACATATTCTTGTCCTGTGGTATCTTGTGTGCAGTATTTATTTAAAATAAAATAATGTCTTTTCAAATTTTAACAGGAAACAACAACAACAACAAAGGATAAAAACAGCTTGTTTCTGGTGACAGCACCTGGTGGAATTTTGGATTCCAGTTTTATCAAGAAAGCTACCCACTAGAGGTAAGGGAGAAACTCCCAACTTGGTTCTCCTTGTTGGATTTAGTTCATAGTGCCACCTTGTGGTCACCTTGTAAATTACAATTGGAAAATTCAATCAGGTATTGATGATTAGAACTTGTAGTCCATGATGTGTTGAGATTTCCAGGACTTTCCCAATAAATGCACCCCCATTCCTGTGTCAGAGAGAACAACCTTGGCTCATCTACAAGATCCTCCTGAAAGGAATCTGTCACCCTGATCCCTGGAGAGCACAGCACTGTGTGACATGCAGGGTATCATGGACAAATATCAGAGTATATTACCCAACTAACACCTCTGTGAATAAGTACTGTTTAAAACTATTTTTACTAACTTCAGTCAGCAATTCAGAATATCCAGATGTCCTTTTGACTATAATATGATCACTATATATCCTGATCATTATATAGACCTGATCTAAGTATATATCCAAATTTTGTTTGCAGGTCCATATATGTTTTTGCAAGTAGCCTGTTACCATGGACTCACATAGACAGGCAGGTTTAAAATTGTGTTGGCCAATCTGGAGATCTTCTAGGACCCCTAAGTTTATTGCATGCATATTTCTTCAAAAAGAGAGGAATAATTAATTCTTCACCTTGAGGATTTGGGAAATCTAATGAACTCAGATAAGAGGCTGATTGGCTGAGGTTTTCTCTAATGTCAAAACCTATAGGAGTTTCACTACAGTTGTGTTCACAAAAATCACAAAGTTCAACAGCAGTCACTTGCTTCCCTGATAAAAATCGAAATTGACTCAAAATAATTTCATCCCTGAATTCACCAATATCCTTTAAATCCCAAAGTTATATATAGAGAAAAGCCTTTTATTGTAGAATTATGCGTGTCCCAGCCCTGTAATACACCCATTCTCCCAATACAGCAGCCTAGTGTTCAAAGAATGTGGTTTGTGCAAGCACTCACAATTAATGACATTAATATTGCCATTCCTAGACAGCCTGAATTTTCTGTGGTCAGTACTCTCCTGACTGCCATTACTCCAGAAAGAAGGTTCTTTTGGGGGCAATGATTTATGCATGATTTTTAGCATCCCAGTAAATCCAGAAAGCCAGTACCTAATCACTTCCACCTAGGATGGACAACAATTTACCTGAATTTATCTGCAGTGCTTCAAGGGTGTATTTGAACCCCAATTAGTTCTCACAGGTATGTCAGCCAATCTTATAATGTAACTTTTCCACACTAACAGCATACAGATGATTTAGTTCCATGACTTACCACTGAAGGAGCCTCACAGACAGCTTTACCTTCTCTCTGAGCCAACTAAAAAGGAACAGAGGCAGCTAAAGAGTCATTGCAGTTTTGTCAGCTATGAGCCAAATACTTGGCCATTTAATCTCTGCAAGTTCACTTCTCCAACCCAAAGACAAACAACTGAGCAAATTCTTAGGGCTGGTGGGCTGTTAAGACTTGGGTTCAAAATATGTCTATAAAAGCCAGGCACTGGTGGCTCACACCGGTAATCCTAGGTACTCAGGAGGCTGAGATCTGAGGATTGCGGTTCAAAGCCAGCCCAGGCAGGAAAGTCTGTGAGACTCTTATCTCCAATAAACCACTGGAAAACTGGAAGTGGTGCTGTGGTTCAAACGGTAGAGTGCTGGCCTTGAGCTGAAGAGCACAGGAATGGTGCCCAGGCCTAGAGTTCAAACCCCACAACCTCCCCCCCCCCAAAAAAAAGAAAGAAAATATCTATTAAGAGTCAGTCACTATTATTATAAAGAGCTGAATGGCAATAACCATTACTGTGCTTTATAAGAAGGTCCAATAGTTTGTCTACTAATTTTGTAAAAATCACTCCAGTGTACAACTGTGGGACTGAAAGCAAGACTTGATGGCTCTCGCCTGGTGAGACTGAAAACCCTGTCTTAAAGTTAATGAGATACTTAACATGGTTCTCTGAAAAATCTCCTTAAAATAGAACAAAAATATATCTATCTTACATTAAATATTTTTTCAAGGCAAAGGTGAAAATATTTCATAGATAATATTTATTGCCTGTGACATAAGACATCAAGAAAGCACCTAATTCAAGGGTGGGAAATAAGACTTGTAAGGGAGGAAGATAGATGGGGGCCAGACAGAGGGCTCCATGCAGAGCACATCCAAAGCTCGATGAGCATCAACCCATCATAAAATAAGTGAGGAGGAAATGTATGGTGAAATGAATATACTGCTACAAGAAGAATACTGCTTCCTCCAGCTGTTGAAAGTTTTTGGTGCATCCTAGTATACATCCCTTACAGAATAAGCAAAATGAAAGGCCTAAGTGTGCTTGTGTCTGGTCTGCTTTCTTGTGGCAGGGGCAGTAGAAATACATGGATTGCAGGGAGATGCACTGGACTCCCTCTGTGGTATCACCTGCTAGACATTGGTTTGGACTCTGCCATTTCTTTTCTTCATAAAGAATCTTGGAAGCCCACCAACATCACTTTCTTTGTAGAAGAGGAAAGACACCACTTCACGAGCAATGTCGACATACAGTGTGTACCATTGACAGGATTCTCATAAAATAGCCCTGTAATAATAGCTCACAAAAAAATCAGTATTTTGTAGTTGAAACCATAGTTTGTGATTGCTATGGATTGAATGTTCTCATTAAAATATGCATTGAAATTCAGTACCATTGTGGGAAAACAGAGATGGATCCCAGTGGGGCCTTTAAGAGGAATGAAGCCAATCAAGGACTCCTGGACTAAAGGGTAATGAGAGACTAAGTTGAGAGGTTGAGAGGGTCTGTATAAAGTAGTTGGGCTTTGTCCCTCTGATGCATTTTTTTGTCTTTCAATGTCCTGGGCCACTTCTGGACACTTTGGAATCTCTATCAGCAAGAAGGAATTCATGACTAGGAGCCTCTCAACTTCGGGATACACTTCCCCTATCCCTTCCCCCACATACACCCCCCAATCTCCAGAGCTACAAGTAGAATTAACTTTCATTATTTGTGTGTATTCCAGTTCTGAATCTTGAACTCGGGGCCTGGGTGCTGCCCCTGAGCTTTTGAACTCAAAGTAGTGCTCTACCACTTTGAGCCACAGCTCCATTTATGGCTTTTTGGTGGTTAATTGGAGATAAGAGTATCATAGACTTTTCCTGCCTAGGCTGGTTTCATTCCTGCCTACGCTGGTTCTCCTCAGATTTCAGTCTCATGGGTAGTTAGGGTTATGGGCACAAACCACCTACCAGCACCCAAAAACTTTTATTCTTAATACGTTATTCCATCAGTGGAATTTAATTCTAACAATAGAGAATGGACTGTGACAGTGACACTGTACTTAATTAAGGACTTATATGAGAATGTATTGCCTTCATGTATTAAGGACAGCATGCAAAAACCTACAGAAAATCAGAATATAATTTCAGAAGAATTTGGAAGCAAGACATTTTTACAGTATTTTGGGCAGAGATAGAAGAATTATGAAATTAAAATAATTGGTTAATAATAAAAGTTTTAAGATGCTGGAGGGGATGTGGACAGAAGGGAACCTTACTTCATTGTTGGTGGGAGTGTAAACTTGTTCAACCACTTTGGAAAGCAGTATGGA